CCCAGGCTCGATGTACATCACATGTGAGGGGGGATGTGGGATGCAGCAACCCCGCGGGGGAGGCACGCAACGTGTCGAGAGTGCTGGCCGGGTTCTTAGGTCTGCTGTGCCGAGAGCGATAGAGTGATGCGCGATCGTCGAACATGTTTAATCCGGTCAGCCCATGGGGCTGTTGAGCGCCCGGGATTGGCCACGCGGAAGCATTGGATGCTGGCGAAGGGTGCGTTGTGGCCAAGGAGAGGTGGCCGCCCATCTCCGTGGGGCAGGAGTGGACGGGAGGGCGAGCCGCGCGGCGGCGATCGGTCGGACCAGGGGGTCAGAGGGTCTGACGGGAGGAGTAGCATTGCTGGCAGTGAGCTGCGATTGGGGAAGCGCATTTGCGCATGATATCGGGGAAAATCATATCACGTAACTGCATGGGCACCAGGGGACAGTCTGGGTGCTCTTAAGTGTGAGACGGGAGAGGATATGTCGACGCATATGACGGGATATCGGTAGCAGAACTTGGGGATTCGGCGTGGTTGACAAAAGCTTTTGTTGCAGCGATTCACGAGCTGCGTGTGGGCTGTTTGCATGTGGAAATCCATTTAGTGATGGTGAAGACATTGGATTGCACGTGAGGCCCTGCAGCCTTGGGAACCATACCTCAAGTGGCGAACGAAAAAGCACCAACGCTGAAGGATTCAACGTTGAAAGGCAGACAACGTCCAGGAACACGTGTGGCCACTCAATTCTCCTGACAAGTTTGGAGTTCAAGATATGCCAACTTGGATGACTCGAGGAGAAAGCCCAACAGGAAGTATGCTACGGAGCCAAGCGACACCATGGACACGTCTTCTTCAACGTGGATCTGGTAGCCCAGCTGTGGATGTTCTGCGGCGAGCATGGGTCAACAAGACGCGTGCATCCGCATGGATGTGTGATGTCGGGCCTTTTCGACTTGACCTTCTTATGTCTTTTATATTGTTTGCTAGTGGCACATGACAGCAAGAATGGTGGCATGACCTGTCTACTGAATGAGCATCAGAGTTGGTTCTTGTTTCGCCATGTACTGACATGGATAGAAAGGTCGTGGATGCCCTGTGTGAGTGACATCGTGTCGGTCGAATTGTCAATGTGGCGGCTGCACGGCAGTTTTTAACCCCAATCGGATGGGTCAAAGTGCACAGGGCTGAAGCGGCATTTTTTGGCAGCTTGGGCTGCGTGTTATGCGGGGTTGATGCAACATTTGCATGAGGATTACGTGAGCCGCTGGTAATACCGTATTTACCCTGTATTAGTAGGTGTGTATTGGACCCTCAAAATGGGCAGTGGATACTAATAGTGGGTCATGGATACTAACGAGCCTTAGAACCCCTGACCCAAGGATTGCACAGAGAAAAATTTAAAATAGCCATTGAAATGCACAAAGGAGCGTTTGAAATAATGCAAGATGCGATGCACAGGTAGCGACATTACCCAATCAAAATCACAAAATCACAGACACCACATTATTGACAACTCCGTCCTGTAAGCGACAATGCTGTTGCCACCACGCAATCCCAAACAGAAACACAGAAACGCATTCACGATCGATCGCTATCCACATCCATATCTGGTGCAAAGCCTTCAAAATCCTCATCAACGTCTTCCCCGGTCATCAACAATTTGGACGGGAGATGCCAGCATGTTCAGGTGGACGGCGGCCCTACTGTGTGGCCCGATTGGAGCACCTCCGGCCAAGCCAAAGGCAAGCTTGGGCGAGCCTGGCGGAGAGAGTGTGGAAACTGGTTGTGAGAAGCGCCAGGGGTGACGGCTGGTCTTGTGGCATGCATGTCACCAGGCGCAATCCGGCGCTACCAAAAACAACCATCCTGTTCCCCCAACAGCCAGGAAATGTCGAAGGAGACCCCATGGCGCATGGCAGGCACGTGCGTATGTGGCTGACAGGCTACGCTGCGAGTAATTGAAGTGGTTGGATGCACTTTACAATAGTTGTTGGGCAACGGGGTGCCGCGGGATCCAGTGTGAATGCCGGAGGCGAGCGCTTGGGTAAGAATTGTTACATAAACAAGCAGGGCCGCCAGGTCTTCTGGCGACTCTAGGCCACCAACTGTGCCATAGACGCATGGCGTGCCGTCGCTCGACAAGCAAATGGAAATTTTTCCAGCAGATCAGCTGCTCCAGCTGTGAGGCTTGCAGCCACCACATGCATCGCACCACAGGATGAGCAGCTTTTTGGCAGTTGTTGCACGTCGAGGTCATGCAACAAGAGTGTTGTGCAAGCAAAGACATGAAAACTAGCTTTCTCTCCCCGAGGCGAATTCAACGAGCCCTCTCGAGCTCGTTTCTGTTGAGATTTGGGGTGGATACTGACACCGGGTCATGGATACTAACGTGGTTTCGACCCCCAAAGAGGGGGGTGCCTACTAATACCGGGTAAATGCATTAGCTTACCAAACTGTGACACCTGGTCGGGGATAGGACGGACAGGAAGGGAATCTGATGCGAGCTTCCAGTGATGATAGGACGATTTTAGGGATCAGTGTAGATTTGGTGTGCTGACATGTGCGAAGTTTCGAGGGGCTATTTTGTGTGGTTGCCACAACAGGTGCGGTGCCACAATGTCGCGCTGCCAGATTCAGAGGGGATATCCCTTGTATCGATACAACAGATCGAACAACTGTTTGTGAAGCTGTAAACACCTTGTCGGCGTTCTTTGGGCGTGTCGCCTTTGCACACAGGTTGTGGCGTGTAGACCAGTTTGGCTTCAAAGCCAGCGGTTTGCGCTCACAAACTCTCGGATTTTGGCGCAGCACTCCCATGGCAATCTCATCGTTCGAGTTGCATGGGAATCTGAGTGAATCTGCATAAATCACTGCGGCTTTTTTGGTGGCATTTCTGCCCATACCCTTTTGGTTCGCATGCGCCTGCATGTCCAGAACCCATGGGCCGTTTATGCCCGGATTTGGGGGTTAAATCGCCAGCGCCATGCATTTGTCAACGAACTGACGCAGGCGACAAGCGAACTTGCTTGAGACGACTGTGCACAAGATGTCCTGGGGTCCGACAGGGATGTAGCCTGGACAACGCGATTCGTGCTGCAGCGAAGAGCCTGACGGCAGCGGGCGATGGCTCACTGACGCCAGCCACAGTCGTTGATGTGATTCAAATACTAATTGCGGTCAATATGGGGCATGACCAAGTGATCCCTGCAAAGCCGCTCCTAAGCGGCATCCAGAGGCAATGCAAAGCATGAACTGGCAACGGAGAATACGGACTGACAACGGCGGCGCCTTCTCTGAATGGCGTGCTCATCCAGGCTAGACAGCCATGTGGAATAATGCATCAGGCCCAACCATGGCGCCCGTTCACAGGGTGCCCAATAGAGGGGCGTGGCTGTGCTTTGGGCCCCCCTTCCGGCGTTTGTGGAGCACCGCTTGGGGATTCCCCACTGGGCAAAGTAGTGGATTCGCAGGGTCCGAAGCCCGTTTATGGCCCATTGTGTGGCATGATGCCCTGCTCCAACGGATTTTCCGGCGCCCCACCGATAATTCATTTGAGCATCCATTTTGTACGCAACACGCTGCATTCGGGAAACAGCGCCAAGGTGCGTTTGGCACCGCGTCATCGACATCAGGCGTTCCACCCCGTCAATCATTCAAACAGGCAACACTTGTTCAGCGCTCAGGAGCCAATTCTTCGAGACAATTTCCAGCTCCAGGTCGTCGCTGCGCCGCATTTGTTCTGCCTGTGCTTCATTTTGAAGGAATGACGGAAACTGCATGGTATCGCCTTCAAATTCACCCGGATCTCCCTCCTCCCCCAACCCCCTTCCACCCCTAGGCGCACGCACACAAGAGAAAAAGAAGTGTGGCAACGCGCATCATCTGCACAAAAAATAAAACCCAACCAGTCGCTATCGCCCTCTCTCCTACACTCACCCTCCTTGCTGATGTGCAACAATCCCACGTCGGGGCCCGAAATCTGCCAGCCTACGGATGTGCGCATCCCCTTCACGATGCCAAGCCAATGGTCGCCATGCCATGGCAATGCGATCAAAGAAGAACTACCCAGGCCTCTCCGTTGGCCACAACTGGGCAGCGACTACGGCAGAAAAGAGCATATGCTGTGCGCCATGGCTCGGTGTTCGTACCGCCGTTGGCCTGCGTTCTTGCATGTTGTCTTCTTCTCAATGGCCAGCGCTCTGACATCTCCCTTTGCGTCAGCGTTTGCAAGCTGACGACAAATGGGAGAGCATGGCTGAGGATCCCTGCGTGCAGCATGCTATTAGCCGCCGATGAATCCAAGACTTCTAATTATTTCTCTTGTCATGAACTTGATTTTCTGTAAACGTGCTGCTTATTCATCACAACGCCATGAGGGTTGCGGACAATGCAGGCCATCCAAAGGAATTCTACAGGCAGCATCCTGGAGGCAACATGCTGGCAATCCAATGAGGGTTGGGATGCGCGGCATTTGAATTACATGACTTGTTCTGGTCGCACCAGTCGCTGCATTGCATACGCTGCATGTCCACGCAGTTCACTGCTTGTTCGCATTGTCGATTTACTGAACCTCAAGGTTGGTGCTCAGCGGGAGGCTTCTTCAAACGAGCCAAGCGTGCGTTGGGTCTAGGCTACTGGGTCGGCACAATAAAGTGGCTGAGGATGACAAATGCCAACTGATCCGTCATTCTGCAATGCTGCAACGAGACAGTCATCTATTCCAGTCCCCATGGATGGAAATCCACCCCATAACAAAAGTTATAAACCTCCAGCTCAAACTTTCACACCAATCACACCTTGGGCTGCGATAATACGCATCGTTAATGCTTTGAGTTGCGTTGAGCGGGCTATAGTGGCAATGTTGCGAATAAGTATAGTCGACACAGAATTGCAGAAAATACAGAAAATACAGAATAGAGAAGATACAGAAAATACAGGCTTCCACGCAGAAATGCTCATTCTCCAACACCACAAGGGAACGCAGTGGGACTGGCTACGCACCTGCATTCTGCACTACAGTTTGCAGTCATCGCAGCAGCGGACTTCAACAGTGGACTTCTGCTCCCCAAGGGGGCAGACAACCTGCTCGTTATCGAGGGTCTTGGCCACTGGGCTGACGGCGGTTGCGTCCCTCAGAGCCTCCTCCTCTGGCCGGCAGGTGGACAGGGGACGCACGTTGTACTCGTAGTCCGCATCCACCCTGATGGTGTCGCCGTCCTGTTTGAGACAGTTTAAAGGAACTAATCGAATACCGCAAAATATTCAAGCGTTCTGCATTGAAATCTTACCGTCATGCTTTCTGCTCTGCGCATTTGTCCAGAGCGTTGTTATTTTTTGGTTGCTCCGCATAAGTTTTATTAAAATTTGGCTGCAAACAAAGGCCAATGCTTACGTTACTGTGCAGATGGGTTTAGCAATTTAGTGATAGTAATGATAGTACCATATCGCATCGACTCCAATCGCTGTCGAGTCATCTGAGGTTCAACAAGCTGGTGGAGCAGAAGGGATTAGTGACTGGGGAAGCCGGGAAGCAGAGCGACAACAACAGACTGCAGAGCCAGGAACAGTGGCACGGGGGATCCAGGGGTTAGATGACTGGTGGGTGCAATAGCATAACATCCTGCAGTAGGCGGACAAACGGAAACTGGGCAACAATGGGTAATTTGCACAATATCAATCTTTATGCAAACCGCACTAAGTTGATGAAAACGTGCACCGTTTTTCAAAGAACGTTGCTGAGGGATCGAACTGCGTTCAGTTCAGGTTTGTTTCTGGAGCCACTTTCACCGGTCGAATACGGCACTCCATTCTTGTTGCATCGTTTCGGAAATGGCGTTCGGTTGAGCCTGGGGTTAACAGCGACATCGATGGCTCACAGTTTTTCAATGCAGGTGAAAGTCAGGAGTACTTGAAAATGTTGGCCATATATCCGCTATGAATGTGCGCATTCTTGATACGGAATCTGCAGTCATTGCATCTGGAAAACGCTGGACAGCCACTGCCTTCCGAGAGACGAACTGCAGGACACCCACATCAGCATTTAACACCAATACGTCCATGCTCTCACTTACTCTTTATGTTGCAGATTTTGGTCAGTCGACCAAGCACAATCCTCAGGACTTTGCTCACCGATGTCTTGTACGACATGGCTCAAAAGTGCCCACGCTGGACTTGAACTGCAGGAATTGACAACGATTTGTTCGCTGGAAAAATGGAGTCATCTACCAAGAAAGTAGCACACGAAGGGGAGCAAACTGGCCCACAAGGGAATGGCATCCCCTTGTGGGCTGTCTGAAAATTGTGTGCAGCTCATGTTCACTTCCATAAGGAACATGCAAAGTGCCCAACTCACCTCACATGCCTCTGGTAGATCCGGTCCCAAAAATTCACAGATGACACGCGTCTTCATTCGGCAATCTTCTGCGTGCACATTTTGCAGGATGCCTCTGCGATCAATGACGCCGCACTCCTTGCCTCCCCTGCCTGAGTTATCTGTCAGGAGTGCCCACACATCCGACCTATCGTCTTCAACACGGCCGCTATTCACCCACATCCATTCTGTCTCGTTGAAGACCAAGCCAACCCAAGATCCCGCGTTGGATGCAATCCCCGCCAGGAGGTTCTCCTCCAGCTCCTCATCAATTTCTGCAAGAAAGCCGCCCCTTTCCTCACAGTAGGCACTGGCTTCACCAAAGTCGAGCAGTGGTTTCTTTGGTGCTGCGTAGTAGTTCCCGGTGTCCTCAAAGAAGTAACATTTGGCATCGTCAAAGATCTCTGGGCACTGTGCGTCCTCTTCCCGCAACAGCTGGCATAGTTCAGGCACTGCAATGTCAGTGGATGTTATCTAATAGGCAGACTCTCGCAGTTAATGTGGGGGGGCTGGCCAGCAAAGGAGCTGCTCCCACAAGCAAAACTGAACAAATGTGCTCAAGGCTGGCGTCAACAACACTGGAGGTGCTAATGGAAATTGACATTGCTTCCTGTTGTTGTCAAATGTATTAGTTTCAGCAATGACAGCTGCATGCCAGCTAGTGGTGTCTGACAAGCAAGGGCACAAGCAGGGGCATGGCATTCATGCTCTGCAGGAATTTGCTCATTTTGACCACCAGAGCCAGTCTCAAGCATGTGGCAGCAAATGTCATTTCAGAACATGCAGTCCTCTGCAGCTTGCCGTTTCTTTGCAGAAACTTTTGGGTTTCAACAAATAACCAAAGCAGCAACCCTTTCAAAGACACTGCAGCGGCCTCCAATGACTGGGGATAACTCTAGGTGTTGGTCCACAACATAGGACAACATGCAGCATACCTGCAGATCACAGCCCGTGAATTCGATGGGAATGCACTGCACCCCCCGAGATATGAAACGCCCGATGACGACCTGGAACCCTGGAGCTCTATCAGTGAAGTCCTCTATCCTCACGTCATGCCCAACAACCCCAATCAGGCCACCATCCTCCCCGGTGGACGTGCGCGGGCCATATATTGGTTTGGCAGCAGTGACAACTGTCCCCAGCCCAAAGGCATCTTCATAGGTTCGGGACCAAATGACATCGGCATCGCCCCTTCTGGAAGCCAGGTATGACGTATACGCATTCATGTCCACCAGTGGGTCATCACCAGCTGTTGCAAAACGCAAAACAAACTTAATGTGAGTCCTTCCTCCTTGACAGAATATCACAAGCAGGCTAAGACCTTGGGCAGGCGAATGGTATGCTTTGTAAACTGGGCACGTTGGAGTTCAGCACACCACTACACTTATGCAAAATATGCATCAGTCTTACCATACAAGAAATATAGTGCTAGTAGAACAGCAATGAGAAGCAACATGCTCCATAAAATCGTGTAGCACATTGCATGATTCAAGTGCAACAGCAGCTTTATTCACCATTGGATAGTACTGCATTTCAATAGCCTAGTTGTGTGTTAACAATTGACTCACAACCATTGCTTCAATGATTTTATTGCATCAATGCAAATCGGAACCTAGATCAATGCCAATCGGAACCTGGTTCCTGCAAAGGTATTCAGCTTACATTCTGTCAGGCATGGTGCCTTGGCATGTAGCTACTCTCTCTACTCTCTGCTGCCAGCAATTCTTTCTTGTCAATAACAACTACTGTCTAATGTCCATCTACCAGCAGCCATCACCAACAGCTAGCATTTAGAACAAAGCTTTGCTCTCAATAGAGCAGCCAAATGTGCTTACGCAAGATGCGACGCCACACGCCCTCATTTGCGCAGGCCATTTCCTTAGGAATCTCGTCGTCAGCCTCAAAGCCAAACGAAAAGGTGAAGATGTGTGCTCGCTGGCTCTCAAGCGCCTCCAGCTCCTGCTGCTTCTGTTCGATGAACTGCAGTACCGAGTCCACCCCAGTTTCACCCTCCAGCACTGGCATCGAGCACTTTGAGTCAGTAAGGGTGCAGTCCTCCCCATCTGTCAAAAAGAGAATGACCTGCACAGCACAACATCAATCAAAGAGTTGGCCTATGACTGTGATGATCAACAGAGGTACAATCACTTCCACCACAGATTTGATAACTCCGCAAAGGGCCTGATCCTTTGACCAGCTGGCATCGTGGTGTTTAAGCATCGTCGATCAGTGCATTCAGGAATTGCCAATCTTCTGGTGCTAAACTTGGAAATCTCTTGATAAATCTTTAACGAGTCTTGCTGACCTGGCAAGCGATCATCTTGGAGTCAATAGCGATCACTGGCCTTTCAGTAGTTATTCAATGGCTCAATCACAAGGAAGAGGAGCCCAGATTCAATATTTTCGTCACTTCTTGGATTCGCTGGCACGATTCGTTTGCTCATGGTAAGGCATCACCAATGTTCTGGCAAGGACTCTTATCACTAGGATCCTCCAGGACAACAACTAAGCAGAAACATTCCAGCAACCACCAACCTTCTGGCAACGCGAGCTTGTGGGCTCCTCATTGTCAACGCTCCTCTTTGTCGCATTCACAAGCAGATCGAAGGCGGCCTCCATGCCCAGCCGGAAGTCCGTGCCCCCAAGTGGCTCTATGTTTTCCACCTCCTCTTTCAGCAGTGCGATTTCCTCCTCCTTGGCCTGTAGTAGCTTCCCTGTGGATAGTATCTTGACTTTGGAATTGAACTCCACCAAGTTTATGTAGTCAGAGATGCCAAAGGTGCCCAATAGGGCCAGGATGGCCTCTTTGGTTATCTCCCATCGTGAGCGGAAGTCTCCGAAAAACTCGCCGTCTGCTGTCAGCATGCTGCCTGCAAACCACTGCTGAAGGTGTGAGCACAAGAGAATACCATCAGTGTATGCATTTTCTTGAGCTAATCAACCAATGCATGAGTCATTTGCACCAGCTGTTCATATAGCTTGATTTCAGCATCCTACAAACACCAGCAATGGACAGCAGAGCCAACTTCTCCAAGGGTTTGCTATCTGTGCAGCAACACCTGCGGAACCTGCTGGCAAGGAAATTTTCCTATCATCGATCATGAGCCAATAAAACAAAGCACAGCCCACCCTCTTTTGTGGCAATGCGGACCAACAAAACACAGCATCATGTCCATGAAGCTCTCAGACTGCACAACCAGGATAGTGTCGCTGTTACAAACGATAGCATCTTCTAGATCGGGACTTGCAGGATTGATGTGGACACATTCATGTCAGCTGCTGAGAGACTACCAATGCCATGGGCAGTGGAGCAACAAACCTGAAGTGTCGATCACAAGGACAACATCCTTGGGGCCGCTTGTGGCTGCGACATACCATGGACGAAGACGCTTGGGACACAACAAGAGGAAAGTCAGTTCAGTGTGGAGACACAAATCTTGGGCATTATGTGTACTGTTTGGCTGCTTGGAAAGCTAATGCCCTTGGCTGCAGCTTCTGAGCATTGTTGCATTTGAGGACCAGCCTCTATTGGCAATTTACTGGCCTCTATTGGCTTCTGAGCGGGCCAGACTCACTTGTAGTATATGACACACCTTGCTCAGAATTGTAACAGAGCAGCAAAAGTCTTCCGGAATCGCAAGCTCCTGCTCTCAATATGATGTTGCACTGCAGGTACTGCATGAAACCATGTGCGGCTAAAAAACTATATTCTTGCAAAGTTCAAAACCACTACTGCAATTACCATGGCATCTTGCCCATCCTGCCCAGCTGTGGTGACTTTGGGCAATGGCCACAAATCATCACAGTGCAGGTCACTCACATTTACAGGCAAAGGGTGCAAGGGGAATGAATAGATATATGAACTCACCGGGTCATAGGGTAGGCAATTGCCCAGCTCCTCATCC